CTCTTGAGCTTCCTCGGGACACTCATTGTATCACAGTATAATACAATTTTAGGGGAAACTTTTCACAAACCATGGAGGTACGGATTATGTCTTTGTCAAGTTGTCTTGACCAAAATTGTTTTAAAGGCTTAGCAAGTATTTTATACCTTGTATACTGTTTTGCGGGAACATTTGTAATGATAATGTACATATGATTAATCCTAATAACATTTGATATCTTTGCCAGTAGCGGTTTGGTCACTCTATTAAATTTTTTAGGTTTAAAGCAAGGTAGAAACCGTAGTCTGGCTTGCTTGAAAACAGCAGTAAAGAATGTACGAAGATACGGAAGTCAGTGCAGAAATTACGGCTACACTTCAATTAGTTGTTGGCACTGTTGTCATTGGAGAATTAAAAATGTATCTACACAGCAGGGTCTCTGAAAATCGCGAAATAACAATGGACTCACTCATCTGAAAATCGAGGGAGCAACAGTAGCGGAGATGACCAACATCTAAGTTAAAACAATTTAGGCGGCCATGTTGCTTTAAAATGTTGGTATTCAGCTTGACCCTACTCAGCTAAACTAACTATGTTTTTCCGAAATTTATTGCGTCTCAAATTTGGATCAGGTCAAGTCATTTTCGGTTTAAGTATGTTTCGAGACTATCCGCTTTTATTCAGGTTATTTCAGTAGTTAAAATTGTCGTCCATATTTTCATTTTATCCACCCCCTACGCATTGGTTGCACGTACGCCAGTTGAGGCTAAATTGATTACATCACTTGCCTTGTGAGGGTTGGCCCGAAACCGTTTGTGGGAAGGGGGGGGTAGCTGGATGGCTGGAACAGAAGAAAAATAATGTCATAAAAAAATATATATTATACGAGTCGTGTGCACAGGCGGAAGAGTGTTTCAGTGACCCGTGATGCGATTTATTCACCCAGCCTTATCCAGTTTCACCTCGCCATCTGAACCACCCGCGCTTTTCCTCACTTCCCGCTACCCTTCCGGCCAGACAGTGAATGCAATTGGCTGCTCAACTTTGGATCAAGGTCCCAGTGGTTGCTGCAACCGATTGCCGAAACGGAGCTAGGAGGCCTCAGACCAACGCACTCACTTGGCCGCATGCCGACAAAGCGCACACAGATTCGGCCGGGCAGACGTCGGGTGTGAGCACACTACCTGACTGGCACCCGTGTGTCGGCTTGCACATGTGTGTGTGTTTTTTCCCACCTGCAAGTGGGGTCTAGAACACATCAACACTGGCCATTTTCCACTTTCTCCCGACTCGTCTGTACCCCCTCCACTGTGCTTCCCCATAAAAATCGTTCCTACTAACACACACACACACATACACAGATATATATATATATATATAAGTGCACACGCTCATATACATCCGGAGACTAGCTCCGGCTCCGTATGAGGGGCCGACATGAGCGGATAGACAGTAAATCCAAGCTCGTATCAAACTCTCACATGTTCTCCTTCTCCGTCGCCTCGGTACTCACAAATCAAATGGGACAAATCCATGCGCACTCGTTTGTGCTCAATTTCTCTCACACATCCAGCTTACCCCCTACCCCGACCCCCTGGTCATCTCTTCCTCGACGTACTTGTTGAAACGATTGAAAAACCTGTACCAACGTGCTTGTGGTCGGCCGGTCAAAGGCGAAAAGACCTCCGCCTCCCCTTGATCTATGACTTACCGTGCGAGATCAATTGTCTTCCTGCCTCGTGTTGGGCGGATACGGAAGCCGGCGCGCTGCCCGGGCCGATGGCCAGCGAAAGGGTTGTCGATCTGGCCGAGACTGGGAGAACTGGACAGACGAGTCTTGGCACGGCTGACTCGTCAAGATCTGGCTGGCTGATTCCCTTTTTTTGTCCACAACCCTACGCCTATTCCTCCACGCAATATCTTCCCCGTGGAATCCCCTTTGTCCCGCCTCTCTGACCTTCACGACTTGACCGGTTTGTGCGCCTTTGTGTGTGTCTCTCTCTCTCTTCCTTTCTCTTCCTCTATTCACACACTCATTCTCTCCATCTCCTCTCCATTCATACACACACACACACTCGCACAGAGGCACCATCAGGTAGATGTGCACAAGCGCCGAGACAAGAGGGATCAGACAATAGAGACAAAGTTGTATCTGAAGCCTAAGAATAGGGGAGTGAAGAAGACATGGGCGCATATATCTTCTTGTCTCGCCACTTGTGGGTTCAAGACGAGCTCGGATGGAAATGGATTAAGCTGGATTCAGACGCGGTCGTGCGAAGCCGGGAGTAGGGGAGACTGAGCAACAGGCCGGGCCAAGCCTCGAAGATCTCTCGACGAGGTGGAGAGTCGAACGTGAATGCTCTTCAGGCCCTCGGAAGGTGGACGAATCTAGAGGATTCATCCGTCCTGTGCTGGCACCATGGCCAAGGTCCTCTGCACCTTCGTATTCTGGTTGTCGATGAGTCTCCTGAACTACCATTTCATGTGAAAATGACTGAAGTTGAGGCTGTATTTCTTCTCATTTGTTCCCTACTTTAAGATGTAGTTTGAACGATGTGAGTATAGCAGAATCGGCAATAACCTGCACCAATTCGGAGGAAAATATGATTAAATTGTACGGGGCAGTAGAGAATATGGGCTTTTGATCGTCAGTTCATTTTGTCAGTTCACTTCCTCTGTATTGGAAAATTCTGGTGGACAAAGACCTCGAGACACCTTCCTTCATTTGAACTGAAAATGTACGGAGCCACCATTCCCCAAACCGTTTGATATGCAAAATAAGAGTTGAAAATCTTTCGTTTTGAAAATGATGGCTGATTTCCCTTGGTCTGGTAAAACTTGATTTTTCCTGGACATTCCTCAAATCAGCCTCCATCGGTTCCGGCGAAAACGTGACGAGGCTGTCATCTCATTTGTTGAGCACACTTGCAATTAAACTACAAATGTATGACGAAATTTTGAATGAGTATATCTCACCATAATACGAAGGTCAGGAAAAAGCTGGATTTCAAAGAATTCCTCAATAATTTACTTATATTCCAACTGGCATTTCCAGTCTCTGGCTCTAAGAGCTTGGTTATCTAACCCCACAGGAAGCCGAAGAACGATTGTCTTGTGGTTGTGACTGTTAGATCGTGCAAAGAAGACCTCACCTAAACGTCGTGCCACATTAATTCATCCATACTAAGTTTTCGTCTGTCATCTGATAGACAGACAACGGGCTATAAACCATAATTTGTGAAAAATAATACCAAAACATAAAACTCAAAAAAGGTAGCCGGCTGAAACACACACTTTGCGAGCTTGATGAAGCATATCATGATTTGGTTGGCTACTTCATGCTTACCATACATACCTGTAGATGAGTCAAGGGAAGAGGATGCGCATGTGGCCATTGCTGTCTTCTTACAGAAATAAACATGTATTTGATCCTACAATTTTGACGTGTGTTTAGGTGTGCGGTTGTCCGTGCTTTGTATGTATGCAATGAGTGATTCATGTGCGATTTGAGAGCCCAGACCAGATTTGAGTCTATTCAATCATCCTCCTCTTGCCCGGTTTGTAGTCCCCATCTCCCCCCTCTTCCTCTCTCTAAGCCCATCCATAGACATGAATATTTCCCACTCAATCTCCTAAACTCTTTCCTACTATTCAGGATGTTGGCTATTGTGCTTCTTTATAGCCTCTCTAATCTCCGGCTCATATGCAAAGTCCCCATAGCCTACAAAACGTTATGCATAGAACCATTCCATCTAGTGGCCTTTATTGGCCAGACACTCGTCAGTTCAGGTTTTTTTGTTTTCACATAATCTCTTCTGGATGGACCGACAAGTCCCTCCCATATATAGACATTTCTGCATAAACACAAAACCTTGCAAGACATTGGTTTGAGAAAAAGGCAAGACAATTTTCTAAAAGAAGGCAGAATTGAGCAAAGCATTAGTTTTGGCTTGCATGTTCTTCTGGTATTTCCATTCTTGACTAATTCGTCGGCTTTTTTCGAAAGCCAACATGAAGGAAACATCATGGAATGGATAGATTGGCCTATCTGTCTTGCCTGATATAAGTGGCTTTATTCTCTCATCCTAGTTTTAGTAATGAGCAATAATAGTCCGTTACTATTAGTGGATA